CAACACCTTTTTACCAATGAAAATACACTGTGGCATTAGGAAGGTTCAGAACCACTATTTTAGAATGAGTACAATATAGGGAGATGAGACTGATAAAAATAAGACTTTGAATTAAAACAACTGGTTTGGGAATAAGAGTTACTCTATTTTCCTCAATGTTACTAAACTTGTATACGTAAAGTATAAGAAAAATGGCTAAGAAAAGTTCTTCCCTTTTGAGCAAAGAAGTCAGCATGGTAAAGACAAGTATATTTATTTCATATGACAGCACATTTCACAGGATATGTACATGTCTGTATATCACCGACTTTAATACTGTACTTCTATAAAGTATATAGTTATAAATATGGTATGCCACATAAGCAATAAAATTCTTACATATAAACAGCAATCTACTATAGAGAACAAAGAATTCACAAAGAGATCCTTAGTGTCTAATTTCTGTTCTGCTCTTAACAGAACTGCTAAATATTTAATAATACACAGACTGGCTACTTATTTGCAGCATACCTTTAACTTTCATAACTCTTGTGCATTTTCAGCAACTTGCCAAATATAATTTTCCTGATAAAGGCTGAGCTGCTGCTGATATGTATACTTTAGACAGTAGTTGATATTCAATAGAAAACATTGCTCACAGAACTGCAATTTGCACTAATGAAGATAACCTAACAATGGATTATTTTGCTAATGGGGAGCAAATACTGTATACACTAGTCACATGTGGATGTCAAAGCCACAATTTCAACAAGTTAATTCACATTTTGAAGCATACTGCTTATAGTAACACTGCTGTTTAAAAGATACTACTGCTGAAATGATTAGAACCTCCAAAAAAGCACAATATAAAATTCACAAGAGTTATTTCTGACAGGAAATCCTGGCTCTTAACAGAAAGAATTACTTCTATAAATATAGTATTTTGATAACATTTGAGCTTTTAGAAAAGTGCTTTTTTCCTAATAGATTTGCTTTATGTTAGTGCAGTGCAGTTTGCTGTGCTTGTACATTTTATATACTCTTAGCCATGAACTCTATTTTTGATATTCCCTCAATGCACATCCATCTTTAAAGGTTAAATGTGGACATAGGAAGTTAGATGGACATATACAACTCTTTACATAAAAGGAACATTACTATAAGTCTTAATGGGTAAAGATGATTTTAACTTAAACTGACAACAAAACTATTGCTCAAGTTGTTTTCTGATTGGTTTACTTAATGATATCAAAATACTACATTCTGTAAAAATTCTGTGTTACTTCTTCATAAAATTAATAAAAGCAGGATCAGTTGCATATTGGCAGTGCAGGAGACAAAATCCAGAGCTAACTTGAGGTATAGCCTCTAAAAACTTAAAGCAGCATCATAGATGTTTTGTGTAGCTTCCTAAAGTGAGAGAGAACATACAATGGGTATAACCTCAATTCAAAGCACTCTGAAGACAGCTTCTTTCCTTGCTAAAAGCAAAGTTCCAGAACAGAAGCAGCAAAAATAATAAGTGTGGGAGGGAAATGGCCAACATATCCCTTAATGTGTGCAAAGAAAAGAATATAATTAGCTCTAATATTTCTCACTGAACTTGGTGGTCTGTACCTTCCCTGAATGTAAGGCTACAGTGCTGTTCTGAAAAGGCCAGAATATCTGTCCATGTGATAATGATCACTAAATGTGCTGCTGCCAGCTGCAAGAACCTTCTCCCAGAGAAAAGCATGTGGAGGTGCTAGAGTGAAAAGTAACAAGGTTGTATGCATTTGAAGGGTGTGGAATGGTAGAAAATTCTGGTTCTGTAGTGAGATTATTCTTGTTTAAGAAAATAAAATTAACGAAATGTTCAAATTACATTTACAGCCATCTTTTGGTAATAAGATATTGAAAAGAGGACTTTGTTAGAACTTTTAGGCAAAATTTCATCTGATATTCTAGAATTATGAGTTTTATAGACAATGTGTACATATGTTCACATATACATACATACTTTTTTTTTTTAAAGCAATGCCTTTCAAACTCTGTTTCACTCTAACTTTGGCAACTCTTTGGTAAATACTCATAAATACCAATTGTTAATAAGTATGAAAAAGGACTGGTGGTAATGTCAGGTAAATGTTGTGTGGGCTTTTTGAGATTTTTCAGAAAAGACAAAAATTTCTCAATAAGAACTATTTTTTACAGTAGTTTTAAGCACTTTTTATGGCTACTACTGTCTGCTATTCATCGAAAGAGAAACACACCAAGCAAGACTCCAGTTAATAATGAGAGGGATTTTTCCTTATTTCCAATATACACATATTCCAACTCTGTATACACCAAATAGTGGTATTTCATGAAGATATCAGTGCACTTAACAATTATTGCACATAATGAAAATCTAATGCCCAATTCTTTCGGCTCTACCCTGCCAAAACTAAGAAAAACAACTGGTTTCTATCACATGACATTATCTTTCAGTGAAGTCTAGGGTGGGTGATGCCTTAGATGCCAAGGTTGTGAAAGGATCTACTGGAGGGCTGGTGCCAGGTGGAAGCACAGAGACAGGAGGTGGAGGTGGTCTTCTTGATGGCAACACGCAAAAAGAGACATTTTTATCTTTATTCCAGTCATCATCCAATGTCACGCTGGAGCCAGAAAATGAAGATGGCTGATTACCCAGTAAGTCTGGACAAGTTGACTTTGATTTCCCTTTTACATTAAAGTCGTCTTCTTCTTCAAAGGTTACCCATCCCTTTGGGTTGCTAATTTTTACTGTAGACTGGCACTGCAGATCAAAACTGTCCTTAAAACCATCAAGTGAAGATGAAGGCTTACTTTTGTTATAACCAGGAGGCTTCAAAGAAGGGAAAGGACTGTTAGTAACTGATTCTTCCCTGGAGAACCACGAAGTTGCTTCTAATTCTTGAGATTCAGTTCTAAATGGGTTTCCAACAACAGTCCTGTCACTGGAAGGATCTGTGCTGGTCAAGCTAGTAATAAATGGGTTTGAAGAACTTCGCATATTTTCCTGGGATTTACTCCGAGCTGGAATTGGAGGTATTGCCAGCATGCAACTTGTAGAACTCAAAGTGTTAACATTACTTTGTGTTGCAGAAGGCAACTGAACCAACCTCTTTGGGTCTGGGGTTAGAACAGGTGACATTTGAACAGATAGCTGAGCCTTTGATACAGCAAGCAGATTAAGTGATAGATCTTCAAATGGGTCACTCTTTAATGGTGATTCTCCTTTGACATCAGAGACTCCATTTGTTTTTACCTGGAAAACAAAAAGGAAAATACGGTATAATCAGTTTATATTTACTCTTAATAGCCCCTTCCTTAATGCTTCCTGTCTCTATTCTTCCTTTTGGGGGGGCAAGTATACAAATTTAGAAACTAAAGAGCAGTTTTTGTATAGTTTTATTACTCTGGCAGTTTAAGTAAAATAAAACACCTTTTTCTTTAAAAACTCCTTACTAAATAAATCCTTTTATTAAATCAATTTTTTAAGATCTCGGAGTAATTAGAGTTAATTTCATTCATGCAGTTTTTCAAAAGGTAAAAAGAACTGTACAGATTAGATTTGTTCATATCCAATTCTATCAAATTTTAACATAAATTTAAGAAACCTATATTTAGAACTTATGCTAAATCTATATAAATGAACTTCTAACATCTGCCTATGATGTTGATGTGGTTTCATTGTTCTTCTAAATATATTTTCACATAAAATTAAGGTACTCTGGAAATTCAACTTTATAGATTAACAAATTAATTTTATTGGTATATTTGCATTCATGAACCAAAGACTGCATCTTTCCCTTTTCCACTTGGAAAAATGAATTTCTAGTGTTCTTTGCTTTACAATGTAAGTTCTGTTTTGTAGAATAAACTCTGAAAAACACCTTCTAACTGATCTTCCTCATCATGTTCCAAAATGTAAATGCTAACAACCAAATGTAGCAACTCTTTAAAACTTGTAGAAGCTCAATGAAGTGAACCACAGATGTGGGACCAAGCAAAGCCAACTGTTTGGATGGGGAAAGAACTATGATCCTGGCCCTGTTAGCAAATGAGCTCATTTGATTATTATTATTTTTTTTTAAAAGATGTAATTCTGGCTTGGCGCTTGTGGCTCAAGTGGCTAAGGCGCCAGCCACATACACCTAAGGTGGCAGGTTCGAATCAAGCCCGGGCCCCCCAAACAATGATGGCTGCAGCCAAAAAATAGCCAGGTGTTGTGGCGGGTGCCTGTGGTCCCAGCTACTTGGGAGGCTGAGGCAGGAGACGCACTTGGGCCCAGGAGTTGGAGGTTGCTGTGAGCTGTGATGCCACGGCACTCTGCCTAGGGGAACAGCTTGAGGCTCAGTCTCAAAAAAAAAAAAAAAAGATACAATTCTTAAAACTAAGGTGAGTGATTTAGACACTTATGCCACCTTCAAAGATAAGAATACAATCTTCAGGGTTGGCTAGGACAGGATGAAAGAATTTCAGTTCAAAACCTGCAATGTTTTGAAAACGGATTACTACTCAAAATGAATTTAGATAACTGTTAAAGCAAAATAACTGTAAAAATATATTTGAAAAAAATAGTCCCCATAAATTGTAATTGCATATTATGAAACACAAACTTAGAAAGAATAGGGAAGGCTGTTCCCTATTCCTTGTCAAAGGAAATGGTATAGATAACTTCATTAGTGAATAGCTTTCAAGGGTCTATTTTATTCCATTATACTAGAATATACTTGATAATTGATTGAACAAGTATTTTTCTTCAAATTTAATGTGAAGAATTTTATATAAATGTGTATAAAATATTAAAGGGGAAATGTCACAGACTCTAAATTGTACTCTAAATGTATTAAAGGTAAGTAGACCTATATACAAAAATGCACGATGAAAATTTATACAGATATTGTAAAATTATAATTAACGACCAGGTTCGTGATGGCTGATGCCTATAATGCCAGCACTTTGAGAGGTCAAGGTAGGAGGATCACCTGTGGCCTGGAGTTTGAGATCAGCATGGGCACAGAGTGCCCATCTCCACAAAAATAACTAAAAAAATTATTCAAGCACAGTAGAGTGTGCCTACAGTTCCATCTATCTGGAAGGTTGAGGCAGGATGATTATTTAAGCCTAGGAGTTCAAGGCTAAACAGACTTATGATTTGCCACTGAACTCCTACTGGCTGAGAGGGTGAGACCATGTCTCTTCAAAAAAAAAAAACCTGAAATTAACTCTATATTATCAGTAATCTTTGGATTATTTATGATTAATACACATGGAAATATTTGATTGGGTCTGGGACCTATTTCTCTTGTGGCAGATAAAACCGTTCACAAGAAATAGGTTATATACGTAAGGAGAATTTTATACTCTGCATAGATTAGAATTGTAGGCACCTGCCAAGTAAATGCTGTACATTTAAATATCTTTATTTTCATATGTAAATAAAGTTTTTTTCAAAGTAACTTACTGTGATAGAATCATTTTTTCCAATCAGACTTGAAATTACAATGAGAGCCACATCACCATTCATTATTTTAGAATTAATTTGTAACTTAAATATTACAGGATTTATGATGGTAACATTAAAATTAGTGGTATTTTTACAGAGAAAGGTGTTGGAAGGACCTTTAATCATGTTATAATATTAACTTTCATCTTTCCTTATCAATACAATAATTCTTCCTTACCCAAAGGAATCCTGCTACTAAAACTATTTGTAAAGATATTTCCCAAAAGAAATCCAAAAATAATTGAATTTTGCATTTATGTAATTATGCCATTATTAAAACCAATAACCAATATGGTTTTGCCAAATAGGTTTTCCTACTACCTAAAGCTTACCTTCTTAAAGTTACGTTTTTTAGTTTTGTTAATTTTCATAAAAAAAGCAAAATATGGTAAAGCATTAGCAAGAACAACTAAAATGGTTCCTAATATCCAAAATGCTAAGGAAAAGAAAAGGCAGGTTGTATGATATGGTAATACAATTTATTAATGTGGACAGGTGGTTTTAAAAATGGGTGAAACTTTAGATGTATGAAGAAGGTTCATACATCTAATATGCGAAGACAGATGAAAAACACATGTAAGACTGATAAATAATCAGATACCTGTTACCCTGATGGTTGCTCCTGCTTTGAGAAAGGAAACAGACATTAAAGGAAAGAGTTAGGAGGACAATCCGAGATCAACCAGCAACCCTAATAATTCAGTCAACAAAATACTTTTAGTTCTATGTTACATAAAGAATCTAAGAGCAGCAATATTTCCAGGTTGTAGCTTAAGTTCAAAAGATAATTTGTTGAATTAAGGTCCAAAGTTAAATTTTATGTTTGATTACTAACCAGTTCAAAGTTTTGTTACTTCAAAACTAACATTCCAAATAGGTTTTTGGAGCTCTAAAGTATTTTAAGCAGCCTGTTATGGATAATGTTTGTGTCCTTCTCAAAAATTCCTATGTTGAAGCCCTAAGCCCCATGTGATGGTAGCTGGAGGTGGGGCCATCAGGAGGTAATTAGGGTCAGCTGAGGTCATGCATGTCGGGCCACAGCGATGTAATTAGTGCCTTATGAGAAGAGACAGTAGGGAAGAATGCTTTCTGTCCAGGCACACACACTGAGGAATGGCCCTAAAAGCACGCAGTGAGAAGGAAGCTGTCAGCAAGCCAGAAGACAGCCCTCACCAGAACTCAACCATGCTGGCATTGAGACTTCTAGGGTCCAGAACTGTGAAAAAATATAATAAATTTCTGTTGTTTAGAAACCCAGTCTATTGTATTTTATATGGCATCCCAAAAGTCTAAGACACAGTCTTAGGATAGTCTATGAATGTAATTATTGGAGAAAATGTACAAAATGGCAGCATTTTGCACAAGTACAACCAAATTAGTATTTACTTTTACAAAATGGTTAGGATCCAGGCTTGTTCTATATTACTCATATTTTTTGAAGGATGATACTATTATTAATTTACCTCATAATTAGTTGGAAGATACAAAGTAAAGCTGGATCATACTTTTGTTTTTGAAATATCAAACAATCCTTCTATAATATAGGAGTATTTTTAAAATCTAGCATCCAGGCTCGGCGCCTGTGGCTCAAGCAGCTAAGGTGCCAGCCACATACACCTAAGGTGGCGGGTTTGAATCCCCAACCCGGGCCCGCCAAACAACAATGATGGCTGCAACCAAAAAATGGCCAGGCGCTGTGGCGGGCGCCTGTAGTCCCAGCTACTTGGGAGGCTGAGGCAGGAGACTCGCTTGAGCCCAGGAGTTGGAGGTTGCTGTGAGCATGATGCCATG